AAATGCAAGAATATAAATGGAAAAAGAAATGATTTTTTTGTTGTTTTTATGAAAGGGTTTTGTCTTGACCTAAATAAAGGAAATGATTAGTTAAAATTAAATAAAATTAACTTAAACTAATTAAGAAAAGAAATTAACTTAAAAAGGATTTTTTAGGGTTTTTTATGCAAAAGGTTTTAAATTAATAAAAAATGAAGATTAATTAATTAAAATAGACTTAAGTTCTAAATTAATTTTAACTAATAAAATAAAATAATATACTAATTTATCCTAAGTTTAAAAATTAATTATTTAAGAAAAAAAGAAATTAATTTGTTTTAAGAAAATATTTTTAGTCTTTTTGTTTTATGGAAAGAAAACAAAATACATAATTATAAATAATAAATAAAAATAAATTTGGATTTTTTTATGATTTATGAAAATAATAATAGTAATAATAATAATAATATTAATAATAATAATAATAATAATAATAATAATAATAATAATAATAATAATAATAATGAAGAAAAATAAAATGAAAAATAAAATGAAAAATATAAATATAAAAAAAAGTCAGGAGGGTGGATCAGTAAGGCAAGGAGTATTATGAGAAAAAAATGATTAGGCCCATATGAAAGCCCAAGCGCTGTCAAAAAACACAAAAAAGTCAAAAAATAGTGAAAAATAACAAAAAGGTTACGCTGGGGCTTGAACCCAGGACCTAAGGGTGACAGACGCACGTTTTAACCACTGGGGTGGTGATACATCCGTTAATTTATGTGAAAGGATAAATACATAACACAAAACGCGCCCTGATTACACTTCGTCTTCAACCTCCAGCCAAAGGACCTGTATCTTCTTCATCTCTCAACAAAAATGAAAAGTTCAAACATGAAAGTTGTGGCATTTCTTCTCACGAATCCAACCATGTAAATAACTTAAGCTAACAATCAAAGATGAATGAGAATTTTTCTGGCCCTAATTCAAAACCTAAAAATTTCAGAAAACTTCAACTCTAAAATTCTCTAAGCTCGGGCCATATAAATGCAAACTATGGATATGTACAGCTTCGTGGTAATGGTATCTACATTTTATCTTCACATATACAAGCCTAACAATGCCTAAATATGAAGATAGAAGTTCAAGAAAAATACCTCAAAACTGGAAATCGTAAAATGGATTTGAGCTTGTTTCAGGCAGTGGTGATGATCAGGTTAGCTTCCTTGGACCTCTAGGAAGCTAATGCAATGCTTAGCTTGAGTTGAGAGTGGCTGAAATGGCATGGAGAAGTCCAATTGCAATGCTCTGTTTTTGGCTATGAAAGTTGATGAAGATGATGTTACAGTCTGCAAACAGGGACATGGATGGTTTGTATTTGATATGAGGAAGCTTTTGAAACTAAAAGGCCAAGAAATGCACGAGTGGTTTTGAAGATTGAAGTTCAAAGTCAGAAATGACACAAAAATGGAGGTTTTGTGCAATCTGAGTTTTCAGGGGGTTTGGGAGTGTTTTCAATCGTGTGTTATGTTGCAATATACTTGTGCATAAGTAAGGAAAATTTTAGAGTACTTGAGGAGGTCAGAAGCACAAGATGTAGAGTTATGGCTATATTACTTGATTTTGAAGAAAAGTGACAATATAGTTTCAAGAAATAGTACAAGCATGGCCTGAGTTTATGGGAGGCTCTAGACATGTTGTTTTTTCCTTTGACATTGCTTGTGATCAAAAGGAACAAATGCAAAGCTCTATGCATTGACTTTGTGATTAAAGCTTCTTTACAAGAATGAAATGGTTACTTTGTGCCATAAATGGAAAATTTACTTGGATAAAGCTTGAATCAAATGGATAATAGCTCAAAAGCAAGTGTAATCTTCTGATTATAGAGAGATATTGAGGTTTAGAGGCCTGCAAAGCAAGATTGTGCAGCATAGGTTTGAAATTTAATTCTTGTTCATCACAAAATGACTTATAATTCAAGTTTGAAAACCCTAACTTCCTCTCTTCGATTCTCCCTGCTCAAGAATGATATCAAGGAGTTCTTGGACATTTTAGAAAGCTTGTAATGTTCTCTACAACCCATATTCTAATCACTTTTGAAAATTACCCTTGAAACTATATGAAAAAGTGCCATGAAGTTAAGTCAAAATTCTGACCAAAACTAGGGCAAAATTTCACTAAGTGTTCAATTTCAAGACCATGACTTTATGAATTAATAACTTGAGATCCAAGCTTTTTTAGAAGAATTTGTGTAAAGAAATATTGTAGATATCATGGAGGTCTACAACTTTCATGTTGAAAGTTTCTTCTGAATCCTCTTGCATCATGGTGAAAAATTGGCTCAAAGTTATGAAAAAAACATGAAGTTTTAAACACTTAGAAATATTTCTAAGTTAGAAAACTTTGACTTTTCAAAATGAAATCTTGACTTTTTGTTTTGTTGATGAATAAGTTTCATATTTTGATATGTTTTGATGAATTATGATCTTTGACATTGGATTTTGACCAAAAAGTCAAAGTTTGACTTTTCAGTGTACAGTTGACTTTTGATCAGTTGACTAAAAATTCACTATCAATCCAATTGATCTTGAGCAATGTTTTAGGTCATGCTATTAGGTCAAAAAGATGCAATTGAACTCTTTAAGCCATGCTTCAAACCAATTGACCATTTTCTAGGTCAAAAATCAGAAATTGCCCTTTCTCAGTCAAAACCCTAATTTTGACCATTTTGCCCTTTTGATGATTTGATCCAATTTCTTGAGGAATTATGGTCCAAACTTGATCAAATGATACATATTAGTTTATAATATTGACGTGGATAAAAAATTATGAAGTTTTACTGTAAATTGGCCATAGTTAACTTTTTCCCCAATATAGCTGATTTTTAAGTCAACTGCTCAATTGACTGAGCAAAAGTGTGATCCAAGGCTTGAAACTTGACATGAGTAATCTTGGGGGTCCATAATGATCCATTAAAGTAATATGAAGCATTGAAAATTCAATTATCCTTGTGCAATCTCAAACCCTAATTTTAGTCATCAGTGTTTAAGGAGGTGTCTTGAGCTGATCAACCCTAGTGCAATCTTGAACCAAGAGAGATCCTTGTGAGAAAATATTTGATAAATGAGAGGGTAAATTTTGGGGTACAACACCTGGCCTAGTTTGCAAGCTCAATAAGGCCTTATATGGACTCAAACAAGCCCCAAGAGCCTGGTTTAATAGGCTTAAAATTTCTCTTTTGTCTTTAAAATTCACAGCCAAGAAGTGCAACCCTTCATTCTTGATGATTCACACTTCATCCCAGTATAACTTTGTGATGGTCTATGTTGATAATATAATCATCACTGGCACATCCAAAGCATTCATTCAACAACTTATCACCAAATTAAATATCTCATTTTCATTGAAGGACCTTGGTCAACTAGACTACTTTCTTGGCATATAAGTTCACCACCTCTCTAATGGGTCATTGTTGCTATCAGCAGAGCATGTACATTAGGGATCTCCTAAACAAGACCAACATGGCCATTGCCAAGTGTATTGCCTCAACTATGGACTCGAGCACGACATTTTCAAAATTTGGTTTTGCACCAGTTCCTGATCCCACTAATTTCAGATCAATTGTAGGTGCCTTTTAGTATACTACAGTGACTAGACCTGAAATCCCATATGTTGTAAATAAGGTATGCTAATTTCTTTCTAATCCCCTATAAGAACATTGAATAGTTGTTAAAAGGATACTAAGGATTCTTCAAGGCACATCTAATCACAACCTTCTACTCGCACCAACTAATCTTAATTTACATATCAGTATCACATGATTTCATGATGCTGATTAGACTTCTGACTTAGATGATAGGAGATCCACTTATGGTGCATGTATTTACCTAGGACCTAATCTTGTGTCTTGGTGGGCTAAAAAACACACACTGGTCGCTAGATCCAGTTCTAAGGTAGAATATAGATGCCTAGCTCATGCAACTGCAAAAATCATATGGTTTCATTCGGTGTTACATGAACTCAAAGTCAAAGTCCCCAGAATTTTGTGTGATAACCTAAGTGCAATGTCTCTTGCACACAATCGTGTACTACATTCCAAGACAAAACAGATGGAGTTGGACATCTTTTTTGTCAGAGAGCAAGTGATTAACAAGTGCTTGGTAGTGTCACATTTTCCTATTCAAGATCAATGGGCTAATGTACTCACCAAGCCCTTATCCACAAATAAGTTTGTAACACTTAAGGACCAAACTAAGAGTGACAGACAAGTTTACACTTGATCAACCCCCTGAGTTTGAAGGGGGACTATTAGGAATATATGATTAACTTTCCCTTGGATTGTTCCTTACAAAATTCAATTAGAGATTGGTTACAACTAACTCAATTATATTGAGAGTTAATTATTTAAGACAGCTCTATAAATACTCCACGTTTTGTTAAGATAGTTGATCAGATTGAAAATTTCTAAAATTCGATTGACACTTTCTTAAAGATATAAGAATAATTTAGTAGGAGAGTTAAAGAGTGAAGTGACAAGAAGGTCAAAGAAACCGAACTACACGTTTTGTTTTTTGTTGATAAATTATCAAACACTTGTTTCCCACTTTGTTGAAGTAAATAAATACCTTTCTCATCCTCTTATTCTTTTTAGACTAGACATAAAATAGAGGCACGTAAAAGAGACCAAAAGATCGCATTTCATTCATTATTGAACAACATTAGTCAAGATCGAACTATTGAGTTTTGTTCAGCTAAAAAATAGAGCTTTATGTGACCTTAATGTCACTAACATTTCCAAAACTAAGACGCAAGTAAATCCTATCAACCAAGTTATTTAGTACCTAAGAGAATAGTATCTCCTCTAACTCCTGGGGTATAGGAGTAACCATTCAAACTTTCACAAAAGGCCCTTGAACCTAATCTAAAGACAGAAGATTAACTTTATCTTCACCACTGTATTTCTTGTTTTTGCTTCTTGAACAGCACATAACCCTGTTCTTCTTGAAGGCTGTCCAAGCTTCTTAAACAGTGTAATGTTGTTGCATAGTGTCAATATCAAGTCCCTTAAGCTTCACAACTGATTCGACGTGACCCTTTAGAGTGTGAAGCTCCCTAAGCCTGTGAATAAATTTAAAAAAACACTTATATATAATTTATTCAATCATCCTCGACATTGAAATTGCCACGTCTTGAATCCTTTCAGGCAAAGGCTAAAGGACTTACCGTGCAACCTCAGCGCGTCTTTTGGCTTGCTCAGCAATCTCAGAAAGCTCCCTGTAGCTATTCTTGTCATTGAAAAGGTTGGTTGTTTCGGGTGATTGAAGACCATGGAGAGTCCTCTGAGCAGTTGCCCACTGTGCTTCTCTCTCTTCTTTGCCGTAGTCTTTCTTTGTTGTGAAAGCAGTCTGTAGTTAGAAAACATAAAATAAAATTTGAATCTTAAAATCTCTGGATTAACATCAACAATGCAACTATTACCGGTCATGAGAGAAAATCAGTATATGTTTTCGTCATAGTAACTATTACCGGTCATAGAAAGAAATGTAATATAATTAGGAGTATGTTGGTTAAGTAATAATTAATGCATTTGAAAATTTGAAAAGGGTCTCAACTTTCAAGAGGGTCTTATATTTAGAGACAAAGATAGTAAGAAAGAAGGAGAAATTACCTTGTTCTCCAAAAGATTATCCCAAGCTTTTCCACTTAGAACATAGCGGATTACGAATTTGAGTATATCAAGAGGGAAATATGTCACTAGACTGTACACCCAGATTACACCAGCCCAACCCCATCCCATTCCCTTAATTCTTGCAAAGCCCCAATTGGCATATACTGCGATAAAAGTTGCCACCTGTAAATCATGAAACAAGTTATTATAATTAATCAATAATTTGTGTTACCAGATGATACAGAAGCTCCTAGATTCTAATTTATACTCGCTTGCCTTTGTATTATGCCAATGACTATTTCTTCCTAAGGCAACTGAATAAATGACTTCATTCCATTTCCACACTAGTGTTTCAAGATCTTATTTTAATTACTAGTAATAGATGCAGTGTACATTTTTTTTTAAGTGGTGGTTGTGAAGAGGAAATGAGGAAAATGCGTGAACTTTACAAAACAATGACACCATTTCAATCATAAAATGATAAGATAAAAAAGCAAATTTATATACAAGTTGATGATAGGATAATAAGAGATTGAAGATTACCAGCTGAGCAATCATAAAAGCACCCAATAGGAGAAGACCAGGTCTTTCTAAAAAGGACCAGCTACGGGACCTGGTGACAAAAATTAGGGCCTGGCTTATAATACTGACTTGTAGGTAGAGGGCTGCCATCATTTCATCAGGGTTTTTTCTGATAGACCTCACACCGAACTTGTCCTGCAATAATGGAAAATGTGTTCATGGTTCTTAAAATTTTTTGCTACTAGGTGATAGTATTGAAGGAACCACGAAATGTAAATTATTACCGAGAAGAAATCGGTATCCTTCATGAGCCAGAAAAATACTACTGTCATTAGTGCCATGTAGCTACCTAGCACAACACCAGTAGCAAATATCTCTTTCAGTTTCCAACTGTCTGGTAGTGGAGATGGTTTCACTCTATCCTTGGATATTGTCATAATGGTACCTATTGGTATAAGGATGAAGGAAATTAAATTAACATTTTTCCCAGATAATTGAAGTAAACTACTAAGTTCAATCAGAAATGATCTCACCATCATTTAGTATGGCGATAATCAACACCATGAAGGGTGCAAAATCAAACTTCCAGATCAACGCGATGAACATGAAACCAAACTGGAAAAATGAAGAAAAGATTACATGAATTATATGAGCCATGTAATAAGTATGGAAAAGAAGTCGACATTTCTTACGAATTAAACTGTTTTTGCACTTACCACAATACGAATGGTGATTGACACAGCATAGATCTGCAACAATCAATACTCTGTGTTTAGAATGCTAAAGCTTTTTGAATGAAATTAAGCAATTAAATCAAGCAAGGAAGAAAGCTAACAGTATAGTTCTTCATCCTTTGGAAAATTGCCCTGCTGGTGAGCACTGCACTAATAATGACACTTAGACCAGGTTCAGTAAGGACAATATCAGAAGCGCCTCTAGCAGCATCTGTAGCGTCAGCAACAGCAATACCAATATCTGCTCTTTTTAATGCGGGAGCATCATTGACACCATCACCTGTCATACCACATATATGTTTCCTCTCTTGCAGCCTCTTTACAATTTCATATTTGTGTTCTGTCATGTCACAGAAGGAGATAAAAACAGTTAACATGTTTTCAAAATGTAATTTTATAGTTAACAGATGCAGAAGTTCCATGATGATTGAAATAATTGAAAACAGTGTAATTGATGATGTTATCATCATTATCATAATGAAGGACCTACCAGGAAATACTCCAGCAAATCCATCAGCCTTCTCAATCAACTCATCAACTGGAAGAGCTGCAACAGCAGCATCCTTGCTTTGACCGAGTAATGACGAAGATGGATACATGTTTGTTCCCATCCCAAGTCTTCGGCCAGTTTCCTTGGCAATGGCAAGCTGATCACCTGGAGAATGTGAAATCCAAAACAATGTTCAAGCTACATGATTTCATTTATGATATGAAATGTGGACTACAAGAAAGTAAGAACCTCAAATCTTACCAGTAATCATCTTAACGTTCACACCAAGGTTCAGAGCTCTTGTGATGGTTTCAGCACTGTCATGCCTAGGAGGATCAAACAACGGTAACAGACCAACAAATTGCCATGGTGCACCAGGGCTATCTTTATTTTTCTCAGGTACTTCCTGTTATAAGCAGATCATTCAATAGCAGCAATACAATAAGGATATTCAAATAAGTCGACTAAACTATAAATGGTAACAGTGATATCAAATTTCTAGACCTGTCTAGCAACACCCAAAGAACGTAGTCCACGCTCAGCGAACTTGTCAATTACGGAATGAGCTTTCTTCCTGACATCCTCTTTGCAGTTGCAGAGGTTCAATATCTAATCCAGGAAAAAATATTGATCAGTAACTTCATGATGATAAACATATGGTGTCACCACAACCATCAAAACAAATAGTTTACCTGCTCAGGGGCACCTTTGCTTGATCGATGCCAATTTCCATCAGAGTCAATGTAGGTTAAAGCAGTTCTCTTGTCTACAGGGTTGAATGGGAAAAAATGAATCTCCCTTACACCAGCTCGTGCCTGTGCAATTCAAAACTATAAGTTAGATTTCTTTTTTCTTCATCCTAAAATTCACTATCACAAAGATAAACTATGGGGTCTAGCGCAGGTAGTTGATGTGAAGTTCGATTCCTACTATTAAAAAAACGCGAAAAAAAAAAAAAAAAAAAAAAGATAGAGCATTTAGGCATATTTATTTACCTCCTTTGGATCAGCAAGCATCCCAACAATTGCAGCATCTATTGCATCCTGATTCTCAGTCCTAGAAGCCCTTGCTGCAAGAAGGATAACATAATCCTTCTCTACATTCTTAGCAAAAACCTCAATCAAGTTTTTATCAACAGACAACTTATTTAAGGTCAGAGTCCCAGTTTTGTCACTGCAGAGAACATCCATTCCTGCCATTTCCTCAATAGCCGTCATTCTCTTTGTAATTGCACCTTGTTGAGAAAGCCTGTGAGAGCCGATAGCCATAGTAACAGACAAAACAGTAGGCATAGCAATTGGAATTCCACCGATCAATAAAACCAAAAGATTGTCAATTCCATCTCTATACTTGCGGTGTTGAATCGGATACATGACAACGAGCTCAATCAGTATTCCAACAGCAATTGAGCAAATGCAGAAGTTACCAATTGCTGTTAGAACTTTCTGAAAGTGACCAACTTGGTTTGTGTTGTCAACAAGGTGAGCAGCTTTACCGAAAAATGTGTGCACTCCGGTAGCAATAACAACTGCTTCAATCTCACCTTTCTTAACAGTTGATCCAGAAAAGACTTCATCCGAGGGATTCTTTGTTGCCGGAAGAGATTCTCCAGTTAAAGCCGACTGATCAACACTCAAAGCATCACCCTCAAGAAGACGAGCATCCGCAGGAATGATATCTCCCAATTTAATGCTGATTATGTCACCAGGGACTAAAATTGCAGCATCTTCTTCAGACCAGCGACCATCTCTGAGAACCTACAATTTTTGTCACAAGAAAAGTAAATTAACATCAATTAATAAAGAAAATAAACATATAGAGCCCCAAACATCAAGTAAATATCCAAGTTGGTTCTTGAAATTGTAGGGTTTTATCCATCTCATCCACCATATTATCAATATTTCAAAATGATCCCTAGAACTGCAAAATGTTAATCAAGTCCCTCCCTGTCTCTAGGGGATCTACTATCAAATAAATCCTTAAAATCCTTCAATCACTTTCAAATTCATCCCAAATATTAACTTAATTTAATTCCAGTCACTGCAAATACCAACCAAGGGACGAATTCGATTACAACTTTGCAATTTCAAAAATCATTTTAGAATATCGATAACATGATAAATTAGATTGATCCAATCTTACAATTTGAAGAATAAAATTGAAGTTAACAGTCCTTTTGTCACATAAAAGTTTGAGACACTGTCATTATAATCCCTCAAAACCAACTAACAAAAACACATTCAAGAATAAAAACCCCTAACAAAAGACACATTTAAGTATGATTTTATACTTTTGATACAGTAAGGACCTCAGTAGCACCGACACGACAATGACACTTGTGATTACGTTTAATTTAGTTATTTTTTCAACCAAGTGTCGTGTCCGGTCTCCGTGTATCTGTCCATGCCAATAATTCATAGAAGGACTATTTTAACAACGTCTCACACATTTAAGTATCAAAATATATGAAGTGCGAACACAGACACCGGACACGACACCGACACTGACACGTCGACACTGATAACAATTTAAAAAAATAAATAAACTGAATGTAATTACAAGTGTTGGTGTCGTGTCGGTGTCTGACACCGGCACCGAACATACTTTCAGAGGTGTCGGTGTTACGGAGATCAAAATAACTATTTACTCACCAAGCAATGCATGCAAACAAAGTTTAAAAAAAAACAGAAATAAGAAAAGATTTTAGATATAATTATACCCTTGTTTTGGGTGCTAAACCAGCCATGAGAGCAGCAGCAGCATTTCCAGCATTATTCTCTTCAATAAAACTGATAGTTGAATTAATAACCAACAGAGAAATAATACCAACAAAATCCTGCCAATCCGGAGGTCTTCCACTTCCATTAGCCAAAGCAATCGCCATAATAGCAGCAGCTTCCATAACCCATGATAAAGGATTCCACATAAACCCTAAAAACTTTAAAAACTTGCTCTCCTTTTTCTCTTCCAATTTGTTCGGACCAAAAACCTGAAGCCGATTCGCTCCTTCGTCGGACGATAAACCTTCTTTCGAACATTTCAGCTGCTCAAACACTTCCTCCACCGGAATTCGCTCCTGAAAATCATGTATTCAAATTCAAAATAAAACGGAGAGAGTGTGAAACACGCGCTAAAAGATGCGCGTGAGAGAAAGTGTAGAAAGTTAGTTAGCGTAAGTAGTTACTTAAAACGGAATTTATGCTGACGTGGCAATACATAACAAACTGATATGAATACTATTCTCATCAAATTTTCGTGACTAGTTTGTTAATTAACAAAATAAAATCCAAATATTAGCATGGTGATTCATATGAAAAATTCTTGACAAAATTTTGAAAACATATGTTAACAATTTCTATGTTGCGTCGGTCTATTCAAAATTTTGTTTTGTGTCGGATACACTGATTAGTCGGTCGAAAGATCAGATATTGAATTTTCGTTATACCAGATCAACGTTCTCATTCTTGATCTCTTCAAGACTGATACCTCCCATGTTGGAACACCGTTCAAATTACGAATGTTAATGAAGTGAAGTTTTTTGCAGAATCATGAAACTAAATGCAGAGTTAATGTGAGTTTTTTTTTTTGAAGAAAGAGTGATGCAGCGGTTAGTTTGTGTCAGTGGATGGTGTATATATACTCCAAATGTTACATGTATGCAATGTATGTATCCATGTCATGCATGAGTAAAGTAATAACCGGTGAAGGTAAGGTACCAAAAATTTGTTGGTGAGAATTGAGAATCGATGAGGTGTGTGGTTTATGTTTTTGTTTTCAAAGTGGTGGGGTTCCACATACTTTTTGTTGTATGAGTTATTGTGATATAGAAATTGGGATTCTTTTCTAATGCGTGTTCTTTCTTCCTTTTCTATTGTCAGGACTATACTTGTAAAACTTCAATTTTATTTTTATTTTTTACATCACAATTATTTTTCTTGTCTTTCTTACGTACCAAATTTTTATACTACCTTATCTTGCTATTACTATGTATGTTTTGCTTATTTGTTGTTAAGATTATAGACTTTGTAGTTTTGTATAATTAAAGGATTTAATTAGTATAGAGTCAAAGTATGGTCACATTAGTTGTACACGTATTCCTTTTTATTGCAAATATTTAAATAATCATACTTGATAAAGAGAGTAATGGTACATGAACATTCTCTTAGTTGTGTAAACTCATTTGATATTCATAGATAATTCTTTTTTTTTATGAGATTTATTCATCTCATAGAAAAGCACTCTACCAAATATTAATCTATTAAAAAAAAAAATAATAATATTTGAGATATTATTCATGGTTATGTATGGTGAAATATTAAATTAGATTTGTTAAAATATTAAATTAGATTTGATTAGATTTAATATTTAAATATAATTCAAGTTGTGTAGATCCAAGATCAATTATGGTTGTATATAAATAGTCCTAGTTAGTTGGTATCATTATTTGTACAATTCAATAATATAAATTCTTATTTTCTTTATTATTCCCTCTTTCTCTCTTCACTAAAGTGTCTCACACACTAATAATTTGGTATCAGAGCTTCCAGTTATTGTTCTTGATCGAGTTTTCAAGAATTTCACGTCAGAGATCATGTTTCTAGGGCAAGTGAATCAACCGCTGGGAAGATGGCTAGTGATAAGGGCATTCTGAATTCTCTTCCAATGCTTGACGGTAAGAATTAGATCCGATAGAAAAAAAAAGATGGATTCCTTGTTTGATTTCCATGAAACCCTATAAGTGGTTACCGACGGCGTTCATGCGTTGGCTGCAAATGCAACTGACAAACAGAAGAAAAAACCACAACGAAGTCAAGAAGAAAGATTGCAAGGTTGTTTATTGCATTCAAACGGTGGTCGATGCTGCTAATTTTGACATAATCTCTCATGCTGAAACGACGAAGGAGGCATGGGATATTTTGGTAAAGTATTACGAATGAGGTGAGAAATGAAGGTTGTTAAGTTACAAATTTTGCATCGACAATATGAGTTATTGTCGATGGGAGAATATGAAAAAGTTGTAGAATATGTGTCGAAGATTCAAAAACTCATACATCTCATGAAGGATTGTGGTGAAACCATAATTGATAAGATGATAGTTGAGAAGGTAATGAGAACGTTGACCTCTCACTTTGATCACGTTATCGAAGCTATTCAAGAATCCAACAATCTTGAAACCACTAAAGTGGAATATTTGGTTGGTTCGTTGGAGGCGCATGAGATGAGGATTGTCGAAAGGAAAAGAGTGCAAGACTCGATACAGGCTCTACAAGCTCAGTCATGGAAAAAGATGGTGGTTATAACAAATTCAACGGCAAGTTCGACAAGACTCAAGGCAAGGAGTCTTAGTCGAAACCTCACAAACATCAGGTCAAAGATGGAGCTTTTGAATCCTCGAAAGGAGGAGGAGGAAACTATTGAAAGGGAAAAGAAGATAAAAAAGGTGTGCAGTGTTATAACTGTGAAAAGTGGGGTCATGTAGCCAAGAATTGTTGGTACAAAAAAGACAAGAGATCGACAAGCAAGGACGAAGGAGAAAACCTTGCACACCAAGATTCATATGATTCTGAAGGTGGTATGATGGTTATGGATGCAATTGCAGATAACCATGCTGAATCTAAAATCTGGTTTCTCGACTCAGGCTGCTCGAACCACATGACTGGTCGAAAGGAGTGGTTGGCAGATTTTGACAAGTCGAAGAAGAGTAAGGTAAAACTTGCTGATAATAGTTTATTGCAAGCAGAAGGTATTGGAAATATAGTCTTTTAAATGAGTAATAGAGGGAAATATATGATCAAAGATGTGCTTTATGTACCTGGAATAAAGTGCAACTTTCTAAGTGTTGGACAACTAGTCGAAAAAGGTTTCTCAGTTGTCATGAAAGATGGAGTTTTGAAATTATTCAACACCAAGAACAATTTGGTCTTAAAATCTCCATTGTCGAAGAACAGGACATTTAAGACTATGATCAATTCGACTGAAGTTCAATGTTTGAAAATTGTTGTTAACCACAAGGATAGTTGGTTGTGGCCTTTGAGATTTGGACATTTGAATTCTCGATCACTCAATCAACTGATTACTCAAGATATGGTTACTGGAATTCCAAGTCTTGAGATGCCTGAAAAAATTTGTGAAGGTTGTTTAGCAGGAGAGCAATCCAAAAATTCTTTCGCTTTGACTATGCCAATGAGACCATCTTGCATACTCGAAGTGGTACATTCAGATGTATGTGGTCCATTCGAAGAACATACAATTGGTGGAAGTAGATATTTTGTTTCGTTTGTCAATGAGTTTAGTTGAAAGTTGTGGATCTATATGATCAAACAAAAGGACAAAGTATTCAAAATCTTTAAGAGATTCAAGATACTTGTCGAAAACCAGAGTGAGAAGAAGATCAAAGTTCTGCGAACAGATGGAGGTGGCGAATACACATCCAAGATGTTTGAAGATTTCTGTGCAGAACATGGTGTTGATCATGAGGTAACTGCTCCTTATACATCTCAACATAATGGAACTGCTAAAAGAAGAAACAAAACCATATTAGATATGGCGAGATGCATGCTGAAGCAAAAGAATATGCCAAAGTCTTTATGGGGAGAAGCTGTTTTGACTGCAGTTTATATTTTGAATATGTGTCCTACCAAGATATTAAAGAACAAAGTTCCTGAATAAGTATGGAGTGGAAAACGACCATTAGTGAGTCATTTGAAGGTGTCTGGCTCTATGTGTTACAAGCATGTTCCTGATGCAAGAAGAAGGAAGCTTGATGACAAAAGTGAACCTATAATTCCGGTAGGGTATCTTTAAACCAACTGATGAAGTAGAGGTCGAAGGAATTGTTGAGAATCCGGTCGAAGTCGAAGAAGAAGCAGTTGCTTACATTTCTGACTTAATCAAAGTCGAAGAGGTTATGGCTAAAACAAGCCAAATACCTCAAAGAAATAGAGTTCTTCCAACAAGACTTCATGATTATAAAGTGGTGGGTGATGATGAAGTCACACTAGATAGAGAATTAGTTCATTTTTCTTTACTTGCAGGTGTTGAACCAATTAACTATAGCGAAGCTTTGAAGACTAAATAGTGAAAGTTAGCTATGGTCGAAGAGTTATAGGAAATAGAAAGAAACAACACATGGGAGTTAGGCGAATTGCCAGCATATACAAAAGTTATCAAAGTAAAGTGGGTATTCAAGTTGAAACATAATGTTAATGGCTCGATAGCAAGACATAAAGAAAGATTAGTAGCTCGAGGGTTTCTTCAAAGAGAAGGACTCGACTACTCTGAAGTATTTTCTCCAATAGCAAGATTGGAGACTGTTCGGCTAATGGTAGCATTGGCATGTAACCAAGGCTGGTCGACATTTCATTTAGATGTGAAATCATCATTTCTGAATGGTCCTTTAGACGAAGAGGTCTATGTAACACAACCTCCAGGGTTTATGATTCAGAAGGAAGCGAGTAAAGTATATAAGTTTCACAAAGCACTCTATGGCCTTAAGCGGGCACCTAGGGCATGGAACAAGAAGATCGACTCATACTTAGTCGAATTGGGATTTGTCAAATGCAAATATGAGTATGGTTTCTATGTTCAGGTTGTAGCATAATATATAACAATCATCTACTTATATGTCGATGACTTGCTAGTAACTGGAAATAGCTTGGAGAAGTTGTCGAAGTTCAAAGAGTTGATGATGATGAAATTTGAAATGTCTGATCTGGGAAAATTGTCTTACTTCTTAGGTATGGAATTTCAAATGACGAAGCAAGGTATGATGCTACATTAGAGGAAGTATGTCAAAGAAATACTCAAGAGATTTAGAATGGATGATTCAAATCCTGCATCCTTACCTGTCGAACCAAATGTAAAATTGTAGAAGAATGTAGAGGAAGACAAAGTCGATGTAACTTTGTTCAAGCAAATTGTGAGATCTCTGAGGTATGTGTGCAACAGTCAGCCTGATATAGGTTTTGCTGTTGGATTAGTAAGCAGATATATGAGTGAACCAAGAGTTTCACATATGAAGGCTGCAAGAAGAATCCTGAGATATTTGAAGGGTTCGATAAATTGTGGAATACTATTTCGACGAGATTCTGAAGACAAAGAAGCAATAGTTAATTGTTTTTTAGATGTTGATTGGTGTGGAGATAAGGAAGATCGAAGAAGCACAACTAGATATTTCTTTCAAGTATTTGGTTCCCTAATCTCATGGTGTTCGAAGAAACAACCTGTGGTGGCATTACCATCTTGTGAAGCTGAATATACAGCAGGGTCTTATGCTGCATGTCAAGCAATTTGGATCAGATTTGTACTTGAAGAAATGAAGTTCGAAGTGAAAAAACCTCTTGTATTACAAATCGACAACAAGTCATCCATAAATCTGGCGAAGAATCCAGTTCTGCATGGAAGAAGTAAACATATTGAAGCAAGGTTTCACTTCTTAAGAGAAAAGGTAAATCGAGGTGAACTTGAAGTAAGGCATTCCTCAAGTGAAGCACA